GAGCTCTGGCGAGTTCATTTGTAAGTTCTCCCTTAGAATCCTCAGGTTGCCCTGTAGACACCGGTCATTGACAGCACGCTGGTACGACTGGTCTCCTGTTCTTGGTGGACACAGCACTTTTTCTTGCTTTTCTCATTTAAGTCATCACAATGAGAGCCTTGTCTTCATTTCTTACTTGGGACGGTAAGGATGAGTCGGGAGCCGGCCTAGGGCTTTGTCTGGAAGCTGCATTTGCCCTGTGTTTCCGCCGAGCTCTGCTGTTTCTTGTTAAATGTGACTTTGGGGAAAGTGATAGGGATTAGAGAGGAACCAGGGGTTACCGAGCCTGCCAGCCAGCCGTCTCCTGTCTGTACTAATGATTTTTAATGTCCTGCCTTGGGTAAGTTGGCGCTTGCAAGGCTGGGGACCTGGAGGAGATTTAGGCGGTGACGATGGCTGAGGGAGGCATGGCTGTGCGGGGAGGGAATGACAGTAATTCTGGCAGTGATGACACTGCACGGAACGCCACAGCCAACGTGCAGACTGATGCTAAGTGGCCACCAAAGGGATGTGATAACGGTCTACGGAAATCTGAAGGATGATGACGGAAGAATGATGGAGCCAAGGTGAGATTGTCAGCGGTCTCCACACCATCCTGGCCCTGACAGCACTTTGAGAGTTAAGCTCTCCTGAGACTGGACTGCCAGTGATCCTCCAGTTGGGCTTGATGTAGGCTGGTCTGAGCATTCTGTTTGTGCCCTGCCGCGGAGCTGACGTGGATCTGTCAGGCACGTGCTCAATACTCACAGCTGGCATTTCGTGAGGTTCTGGTGTTATGGGTTTGTCTTAGTTACTTTCTGCGGCTGTGGTAAGACATCAGGACCAAGGGAACTCATAAAAGGAAGGGTTTCCCTGGGCTCACAGTTCCAGAGGGTTAGAGTCCATGGTGGCAGAGTGAAAGCAGGGTGGCAGGTGACTGATGAGCAGCTGGGAGCTCACATCTTTTTATTTATGTATGTATGCATTTATTTATAGTAATTTTTGTTCGTTTGTTTTTTGTGTGTATGCATCTGAATGCAGTTGCCAGTGGAGGCCAGAGACATGAGGTCCCTTTGAAGCTGGAGCTAAAGGTGTTAGTGAGCCACCAACATGGGTACCAGGAACCGAACTTAGGTCCTCTGGAAAAGAGGGAAGTTCTCGTAACCACTGAGCCTCTCCTCCAGCAGCAGAGAGCTCACATCTTGATCCACAAAACAGGAGGCAGAGATCACACTGAGTATGTTACCAGTCTTTTGAAACCTCAAAGTCTGCTCCCAGTGACACACCTCCATCAACAAGGTCACATCTCAAACTGGTCTACCAACTGGGAACCAGCTATTTAAACAGAGGAGCCTCTAGGGGCCATTCTCATTCAGCTACCAGGTTAAATTGTAATCTTCCTGCAAAGACATGAAGTCCTAACTCTGTCACTGTGTATATAACCTTATTTGAATGTAGGGGCTTTATGGATGTAATCATGTAAAAATGAGGTCATGAAGGTAGGCTCTCAGCCACCATAGTTCATGTCCTTATAAGGACAAGGGACTGAAGGATTGAGGAGATGGCCCAGTGCTAAGTGCTTTGTATGCAAGCATGGGGACCTGAGTGTGAGTTTCTAGCACCCATGTGAAGAGCCAGGTGTGGCTACATATGACTGGGGCCCCAGCACTGGAGGTGTGGGCATAGACAGGCAGGTCCCAGGAACTAGTTCACTAGACAGTCTGGTCTGCCTAGCTGAAACAGCAAGACACTGACTAACTCAGTAAGAAACTTCAACTCAAGGCAATAAGGAAGAGCGTCTTAGTTATGGTTTCTGTTGCTGTAAAGAGAGACCATGCCATGACATGGAAATGATGGAGGAGGGTCTTCTGTCTATGTGTGACTTTCATTGGTTAATAAAGAGACTGTCTTGGCCTTTTTGATAGGCCAGCCCTTAGGTGGGTGGAGTAGACAGAACAGAATTGTGGGAGAAAGAAAGCAGAGGCCGAGAGTCACCATGAAGCTGCCAGGTCAGACATGCTGAATCCTTCCCTGTAAGCCACGACCTCGTGGTGAGACACAGATTATTAGAACTGGGTTGAATCAATATGAAAGAGTTAGCCAATAAGATGCTACAGATAATGGGCCAGGCAGTGTTTAAATGAATACAGTTTCTGTGTAATTATTTCGGGGGTAAGTTAGCTGGGATCTGGGCGGGACTGCAGCCCGCTGCTTCTTCTACACGGAAACTCCTTTTTCTTTCTTTCTTTCTTTCTTTCTTTCTTTCTTTCTTTCTTTCTTTCTTTTTTGTTTTCGTTTTGTTTTTTTGAGACAGGGTTTCTCCATGTAGCTTCAGAGCCTGTCCTGGAACTCTCCAAGTAGACCAGGCTGGCCTTGAAACTTCACAAAGTTCCACCTGCCTCTGTCTCCCAAGTGCTGGGATTAAAGGCGTGCCCCACCACTGCCCAGCTATGGCAACTCTTATAAGGAAAACATTTAATTGAGGTGGCTTACATTTCAGAGGTTCAGTCCATTATCACCATGGTCAGACATGGCAGCACGCAGGCAGACATGGTGCTGGAGAGGTAGCTGAGAGCACTATACCTGGCACAGGCAACAGGAAGGAAGTGATTGGTCTCGCTGGGCACGGCTTGAGCATATATGAGACCTCAAAGCCTGCCTCCGCGGTGACACACTTCCTCCAACAAGACCATAGCTACTCCAACAAGGCCGTACTTTCTAATAGTGCCGTTCCCTTCGGGGACCATTTTATTTCGAACCACCATAGAGAGCAATAAGAGCATGTCTTATATTGGCCTCTTCATGTACATACATAGGTACACCATGCATGCAGCAGGCACACATATACCACACACACACACGAGAATGCCACACAACAACAGAGAAAATTAACACTGCAAGTCAATGGTTATCAACGACTGGTGGTTTTAGCAGAAACTAAGAGAGATGGGGTCTTTCCTACAGGCTCAGGGGAAGTGTCTTAGTCCCTTCAAGCTGCTGTAACAAAAGAGCAAGATTTATGAACAACTGAACTGATTCCTTAGTTTGGAAACCAGGAAGTACAAGATCAAGGTCCCAGCAGCTTCCATGTCTCATGAAGTCAAGCACCTCATCAATGAAGGAAGGTGACAACAAGCTCCCTCCTACCTCTTATATGAGGACAATAGTCACTCACCAAAGACCCATTCTTAGTACAACTACCCTACCAATAGCTTTCAATGGGTGAATTTGGGGTTGGAAGGGGAGAGGGTTGAGACAGGGTTTCCATATTCAGCCTAAGATGGCTTCAAACTGTTGTGTTTTTTTTTGTTTGTTTGTTTTTGTTGTTGTTGAGACAGGGTCTCAAGCTCACTATGTGGCCCTGACCCATCTGGAACTCTCTATATAGTTCAGGCTGGCCCCAAACTAAGAGATCTGCCTGTCTCTGCCTCTTGAGTGCTAGGATTAAAGGTGGGTCCCAAGTGATGGGACTATGGAGGTGCACCCCCTAGCCCTTCCGTGATGTCTCCTCCACAGACAGCCTCAGCCGCTAGTGAACATTTCTAGCCTTCAGCGCGATCATTTTATGACTTCTTTCTTTTTGTCTTATTTGTGTGACTGTCTTATATCCTAGTCTCTCTTCTCCACCGAGCTTTCTTTCTTGCACCCTGCATCTCTTGTACCTGCTTCTTGTACTTTCTATTCTTAGGCAAAGGAGACGACAATCCGGTTCTCTAACGTGCCACCAGGGGGCGCTGCCCGCGGGGGGCCACTGGAGCACCTCACTCAGCGTAGGCAGAAGAGAAGCAGTGAGCTGACCGATTCTCGGCCTCAGTTAACTCTGACTGGCTCTTGAAAGTAACCCAAACTCAGGAAAAAGTTCCTATTCGAAGATGGACACCAATTTTCCACACCAGCCAGGAGAATCTTGGTATTAAAAGGGTTTTCGAAGCTTTCTCACAAGACAAGAACAAAAATGATAGAACTTTTCATGGGAAAGTCTGTCATCTGGAGGTTCGCTGTACTGCCACAACCCAGACAGGGCGTGCTAGAAGCCACACAGACCCAGACTGGAGTACACACTTTCTAATTGGGTGGCGTTAGCCCGCCCAGCTCCTCTGAATCTAGTTTGGCATGGACAACCGTTCCTACTCAGCAAGACTTTGCTCAGGGTTACAGTTCACAGTGTTGGGAGAGCTTCCAGAAGCCTCTTTCTGACTAGGGATAGTTCAAGGCTAGCCCTGGGGTCCTTTGAGACAAGAATGGGGACTGCTCTACGGGCCTCTCTGGGCTTTTCGGCTACTTTTTGCTCTCCTCCAAATTAGCCTCCCTTTGACTGCAAGTGGAGTGGGGGCTCCTTTCTAGCCATAGGAGGTATGAAGGCCAGGCCAGCCCCTGCGCACCTCACTTAGGCCCCAGCGTTAATCAGTAGCAGTTTCTGACAGCTCAGCCCCCCGCCCCCGGCAGCATCTTCTAGGCACAGAATTCCGGGGTGGGAGGAACCCCTGCAGGTCACAAGCCCCGAGTAAAGGGTGCTCGGAGAGGACCTTCCTGGAGCGACCCCGGATCCTAGACGTGAGGTTGGCTAAGAACAAGGTAGCCGGGGTTGGTGTGGGTGGGGGAAGCTTTATGTCCCGGTGTGTCCTCGGGTCACAGAGTCCTCTCCAGACGCTCCCCAAGAGCTTCCAAGCCGTGGTCTGTGTGTGCCAGCCAACCAGACGCTGGGGCGGGGCAGGGGGAAGGGACGCCCCGCTGAACCCTCAGGGTCCTTCCCTCCCAGGCCTGGACCCGCTGAGCACCGGGATCCGCGGGGACCCGAGGCACGGCGACCCGGAAGGCCGGCGGAGCCGGAAGGAGGGAGGGCGGAGCCAGGGCGGCTGTGGCCTGTCAGCGGCTGTGTAGCGCTGGCAGAGCGGAGCCGGCTGCGTGGAGCGGTGCTCAGTGTCCCCGCGGTCCCAGACTCCAGCACGGTAAAGGTGCGCGCGGGGAAGCCAGGGTCTGCGGAGCCGGTCGGGGACCGCATGGGGCACACTGCTGTTCATCTTCACTCAAAGGAACCGAGGCATGGACAGGCCTAAACTGCAGCGCCGAGGTTGGAGTCGGGGCCAGCTCCGAGCGCAGCCTGCATCAGCCCGGGTGTGCGGGAGTGCGCGTGCGTGCTGCGGCGGCTCCCACAGCCTACCCCAGGCTCCTTGCGGGAGGGGACATGGCACTGGCTTAGAGATGGTCAGGAAAGATGTCAGGGGCGGAGAAAGCCAGATTAGTTGGAGTTGTGGTTGAGAAGCGTTCTATGACTAAGTAAGTAGATAAGGTGCCCGTAGGCAGGGGTGAAGGCCCGGGAAGAGGGCATTGAGCCACGGAGTGCAAGAGTGCCGGATGTCAGCCCCTGGCCAGCCCAGTCTGCGAGCTGTGTAGTGAACCTACCACGGACACCTTCTGGTCTTTCAAGAGAAGTCAGGAAAATCTAAATTGTAAGATATTATTATTGCCCTTATTTTGAGACAGGATCTCACTATATAATCCAACCTGGTCTTGAACTGTCGGTCCTCCTACCATAGCCTCCCCAGGTCTGGGGTTACAGAGCTGTGCCAGCACGTCCTCGACATCCTCTTGTTTTTAAATACCAACAGCCAAGTAATTAAAAACCAACTTTGTGTGGTGGAAGAATGGGATGATGAACTTTATAGAGGTCAGATTTCAGCTTGGAGTTTGTAAATTCCGAAAAAGGGAGCAAGGGCCTGTTCTCCACACTCTTTCTGTTTCATTTCTCCACCAACACACACTTCCTCCTTCCACACTGGGGATTGGAATCCCAGCTTTGCCTAATATTGCTATAAAGGACATGGAGGTCCCGTTAGCTCTAAAGCCTCCTCCGTTGTCTCTCATAACTTGACTGAACTCAGTTGAGGCTGCTGTGCAAAGGCTTGACTTTTCCCCTGCTCTGTGTATGTTCCAGAATCCGGCCATCATCTTCCGACTAGTCTGGGTGACTGTAAACCATCAGGGCTCAGTTAGCATCTGCCTTCCCTGTGGCCCGCAGGTAGATTGATCGGACCTGTTTTGAGGACAGCATTATTGAAATAGTTGTACTATTGTGGGAAAGCCCTGTCTGCTGTGACCTAAACTCTCACGGTCACTGACAGACACAGTGGCCCTGGGCTGGGAGGAGGAGAGACAGGGGATGTTTCTTTTAAATCTCATGAGCCTGAAGAAGGCAGGAAATGAAAGGCTTTCCAGGGACTCAGGAGCCGAGGTGCAAACCTTTACTTCCACAACAAAAGCCTGTTGCTGATGTAACTTCTGAAATTATTCTTCGAGAAATTTAAACCTGCCTTGCCTTGCCTTGCAGACTGCAGACGCCCGGCTGGAGTGGAGCTGCCCTTGCTCCCCTGCTCCCTGGCACCTGCTAAGGAGCCTGGCTTGTCCTCTTGCACTGACTTAGGTGGAGATTTAGGAATGGCATGGGCATGTTGGTGCCTTATCTGCTCCACTTAAAATTATCCAGAGCAGGTTTGGGGATAATCGAGGGTGAAGTGGGTAGGAACATTAGCCCGTTCCCTATTGTCCACAGTTTTACCTTCTGTAGTTTCAGCTAACTGCAGCCAAATAGTAAGTGAAATTTTTTTTTTTTAGAAATAAACAATTCATGAGTTTTAAAGACTTAGTAAGTTTTAAATCACGGGTTTTCTGAGTGTGATGCAGTCTCATGCCATCCCGCTCCATTCTGCTGGAGATCTGAATCTTCTCTTTGTCCAGTGTATCCACAGGGTTTACCCTACCCGCCTGCTAGTCACTCGGTAGCCCTTAGCTGTGGTGGGTGCCCAGTGCTTGTGCTAGTAACCTCGTTTTACACACTAAAGACTCCAAGGCTCGAGAGTTACAATGCAAAGGATCCAGGACATAAAAGCTGTCAGGACAGATTAATCAAGCTTTACAGGCATCTACTGGAGTCTCAGAATGCATTCTTTATGGATAGGGGGCAGCTACTGTATGCATCTCTGTCCTGCCTCTTCCATGTGCACTGTCTTGCTATGCAAAACCCATTCTGAGAATGCAGATCCATTATTCTGCAGAGATTTGATATGTGGAGTGGTATCTGTGTGCTGGTGCTTCAGGACCAGAAGGGCACAGGCCTCGTGCTTCTGAGTATTGGGGGGTATCCTGCCGTCTTCTGAGACCTGGGCTGAACCTGATTTTTTCCAGTGTAACCGACAGATGAAACAAAAAGCTGGATCTGCCCCAAAGCTAATCAGGATGGGAGTGGTGGGTGTTCAAATGCCTTTTGAAAGGAAGGCATTCATCTAAAGTTTATCAAAATTGATGAAGAAAACAGAGACAATGGATAGTACAGACCAATAATACCGGGGCTTCGGAGCCAATGCAGAAGGCCGTCATGGAGTTTCAGACTAGCCTGGGCTACACAGCAAGTAAAGAAGTCTCAAAAGGATAAGGGTGCGCAGAAGGACCACTTCAAGGGGTTGGAACATAGCATACTTCCTCCTCCTGGGAGTGTCCAGAGTTTTTGAAAAAAGCCTTTGTGTCAATGTGGTGACTCCATGGGTTCCTTACAGAACTCAGAACTCCCAGAGCCAAGAGGAGATTTACATTGAGGGATTCTGATTCTACACAATCCTTGGGCACGGAGAGAAACCAGCTAACCAACCAAAGCCTGGTATAACCCAAGCTGTAGCCCTGGAACTCCCTCAGCAAAGTCCCTTAGCTTACTGACATGTCTGTCCCTCAGCCTCACAGGAGCAGGAAGTGTGGGAGTCATCAGGAAGTGTCAATCCTGCGGCGCTTTCTCCCCAGCCTTATGAAGTGGTCTGTCAGTGTGTGGGCTCTCCTTACCCACCAGTCCCTCTGTGGGGCACAGTGCATCTCATCTATGGCTCTGCCTCTGCCTGTCACTTCCCAGCAGCATGGCATTGTGCCCTGATCTCACAGATTGCCTACGGTCATTATTCTTAAGGGCTCTCTGTCTGTCATTTCATGTATCTTACAAGCCCCTGGAAGTCTCGTGTTTTGAGTGCAGGCAAGCCTCGATCTCACTGTGTAGCCCAGACTGGCCTCAGACTCGTCCTGATCTTTCTTTGACTTCCCAAGTGCTGGAATTGTAGCTATGAGCCACCATGCCTATCCATCACCAAGCCCCCAGAAATCGGATTTATTTTGTTTTGTGATGGTTTCATCTTGCTAATTCACCTTGTTCCTGGTTTTTCTTTATCAATAATTAATTATAATATGATTATAATAATATTTAATGTATAATATAGATTTTAATAATAGTTAATTATTAATTAATCATTATTTTCTTTTTGGTAGAGAATCTAGCTATCTAATCCAGGCTGACCATGGGTTCACAAACCCCTGCTTTAGCTTCCCAAGGTCCGAGAGGACAGTCTGTGCTGCCCTACCCAGGTCTTGTCTTGGCGCATGGTGTCCCAACAGGGTCGACAGTGCCCTTGGCTCTTCTCAGTCACTTTGCATCCCTTCTTTCTACCCCTTGAAAGGGTCCATCCTTGTTTTTGCACTGGGGCTCAGACTCAGTGCATTTTTTGTGTCTGCCGTAAAGATCTGCATTTTCAGCCCCATTTGCGCTCCATCTTAAAAGCCGAGTATCTGACTCCTGGCTCTGGGTTACGTAGCAGGCAAATGCCAGCACGGCCTCCGAGTCTTGTCCTTTTCCCCCGTTTCTGACTTGGCTCAGATACCTTGTCACGCGCGAGGGGCCATATGGCTGGGAATTCTCTGTCCCTGCCAGACTTTCTATGTTGAAGGTTGCGGGAGCCACTTGATGAAAGGCTGCTGGTGTGAGAGAGGTCAGGCTTAGCTTGCTAGGGGACTGGTAAAGCCTGTGGTTGAGGCTGCTTCCTCATTTGTCAGGAGTCTAAAGCTAACCAGAGGGCACAACAGACCTTTCATCCACTTCGCTGCTCCCATTTGCTTGTTAGTGGATGCCCAGTTTCTTGGCGACAGAACCACACAGGGCTGTGTGCCCGTCTGACATGCACACGGCCAAGCAACTCTTCCTTCCGGAAGGTGGGCGCTCTTCCTGAGACGCTAGAAACTGATACATTTGAGTCAAAATACTCATAAGCTCATTAGAACTCTCCCTTTCCACCACAGGGTACTGGGGTACTCTCCTGTTATCCCCGAGCAAAAGGATTATAGCAAGGCCTGTGTAGCAAGACCTTATCTCAGAATAAATAATTAAAACAGATTAGTCCAGAGTAAGTAGCTAGGAAGGCCTTATCTCAAAAATAAACAAAAGTAAAACGACGAACTGGAGAGAAGACTCAGCGGTTAAGAGCACTGGCTGTTCTTTTAGAGGACCCTGGTTGATTACCAGCACCTATATGGTATCTCACAGATGTCTGTCACTTCAGTTCCAGGGGATCACTGGCCTCCAAGGGCACTGCACGCATGTGGTACACAGACATACATGCAGCAGAACACCTACATACTCTTTCTTTCTTTCTTTCTTTCTTTCTTTCTTTCTTTCTTTCTTTCT